CTCTCTCTGGCAGTGGGCAGGCGCCCGTCCTACCCTTTTGGGGGCCGTCAGGCTCCTGATTAAATGGTCTAGGCAGGAGACACAGGTTTTGGCTCTTCAGAAAGGAAACCTTTCCCTACTTGTGGAAAAGAAAATTTTGCCTCATGACTAGTAACATAAACACACACTCATCCACTCTCAGAGCCTTATAAATAGCTTGGCTGCACACTGACTCAGGGGAAGTAACATTTTTTTCTGCAAGGAGAGTGGTGGGGTGGCTTTTGATTTATTTCAGCCCAGTTACAATTCAATTCCATTAGTCATTTTTTTTTTTTGAGGCAGCTAGATGGCAAGGATAGAGCACCAGGACTGAAGAGAGTTCAAATCCAGCCTCAGATACTTGCTAGCTGTATGACCCTGGGCAAGTCACTTAACCCCTGTCTACCTTAATTTCTTCAACTGTAAAATGGGAATAATGATAGCTCCCAGGGTTGATGTGAGATAAAATGGAAAATCTATGCGTAAAGTGCTTTGTCAATGCTATATAAATGCTAGCTATTATTATTTCATCTTTGTGCAAAGGTGTTGGGTGTTCTTTCCCTCCCCCCATTGATTATATTTAACAACCAGGTATGATCAGATTATAGGATTCAGGGACGTCAGAGGTCATCTGGTCTAATTTCTTCATTTACAAATGAGGAAACTGAGGCTCAGTGACTGGCGTGCCTTGTCTAGAGTTACAGAGGTAGGTAGCACCATAAGATTCTAGACTGAAAGCTTTTGTTTTGTTCAGTCATTTTTCAGTCATGTCCGACGCTCTGTGACCCCATTTTCAGATTTTCTTGGCAAAGATACTGGAGTGGTTTGCCGTTCCCTTCTCCAGCTCATTTTACACAGGAGGAAATTGAGGCAAATAGGGTTAAGTGACTTGCCCAGGGTTACACAGCTAGTAAATGCCTGAGGCTGGATTTGAGCTCGGGTCCCCTGAATCATGAGCCATTGGTCTTTGCCTTGTCCCACACTTGGCTTTGAGTTCTGACCCTCTTCCCAATGCCCCTGGGTTGTTGATGCCATCTCTGACAATGGAGATGTCAACCCATCTTACTAGACTGTCCTCCACGTGCCCCTGTAAATTCTAAGTAGATGTTTAGAGACATTCTAAAAAGTGATGGTTGGCCTCATCTGCCCCCTCTGTCAGTGCAGGACCAAAAGAGGGCCAGGCAGCGCCGAGGGTGTCTTGTATTTTCCTTTGTTTCACTGGTTGCCATGGACAAGGAATTCATCCCCAAATGGCCAGCCTGTTGGAGATGAGCTCCAGTGCTTGGCTAAGCTGGTCCTTGGAAAGCAGACACCACCTGTCGCCAGGATTGTCCTGGAAGACTCTGCCGGGGCACCACCTGTTGGGGTTTGTGTCTTTCTGGCATTCGTAGCCTTTTCCATGCCATGCTGAGGCATCAGGACAGGCCCTCATGGAGGAGTCGTTGGGGATGCAAACTTGACCTTGTGAGTGGTCCAGGTGCTTAAAAGAACTGAGTTTAGTCGGATAAACAAGCCACTTTCAGACACATGATTTAGTACTGGACAAAGGGTTGAGAATTCCTGGAGGTAATCATCAGTCCTGGCCGAGATGGGGAGGCAAGTGGACCAGATGATCGTAAGAAGAATCGTCATAATAATGGCTAATCTTTATAAAGCACCTTAACATTTACAAGGCACTTTCCATATGCTTTGTCCTTTGGTCCTTATAACAAACCTGTAAGGGTAGGGGGATGTGATTAACCTCATTTTGCATATGGGGAAACTGAGGCAGACAGAAGTTTAAGCGACTTGCCCAGGAGCACAGAGCTAGTAAGTGACGGAGGCAGAATTCAAACTCGGCTCTTCCTGACTTCCATACCCCTTAGCTGACTCAAGAAAACTTTCAGACACAGTAAATAGACCATCCCAAGATCTTAGCCTTTGAAATAAAGAAACATTCATCTCTGTACTTAAGACACTCAAAACCAAACACGGTGAGTGTCTCAAAAGTCAGAAATCAGGGGATTTTAAAAGATAACTTGTAAAGTACTTTGCAAACCTTACTGTGTTATAGACATGTTAGCAAGGATGGGGATGACCTTTAACCATTTTGATCTCACCTCCCTCTCCCTACCCCTAATACTTTCAGATCCAACACACTCAGCCTAGATTTTGTTATTTAGGGTGTTTTAATTTAAACTTCATTGGTCCATAGGATCATGGTTTTGAGCTGAAAGGTACCAACAGAAGCCATTCATTCATTCATTCATTCAACAACCATTTATTAAACACCTGCCCTGTACAATGTACTGTTAGGTGTTGGGAAAAATAAAGAGGCTAAACTTAAAACCGCACTAAGACTTTTGGGACATGGTATGTCATAATAAATGTAAATGGGGTGTCTATAAATCAATGACACCTTCTTGGATTCTGTCTTGTTATTCTATACTCCCACTTCACATAAACACAAAAATGAAGGTGGAACTGTCAGTTTCCCTTTATATACATACACGCACGTCATACACATGTATTTGTAGTGTGTGTGTGGACATGCACACACATACAAACACACAGAGGAAAACTTTTCCAAAGTTGTAGAAGGGAAAATTTCAGTGGTTCTAGGCAATTGCTTTGTCTGCAAAGATCCAACAATAGGTTTGACTGCGTGTTTTGGCCTGGTGTAGGGAAGGGAACAAAGATTTGTTAAGCACCTACTGCGTCAGGCACTCTGCCAAGTACTTTACAATTATCATCTCATTTGATCCTCACGACACCCTGGGGTAGGTGCTTCGTTCTCCCCATTTTACAGTGGAGGAAACTGAGACAGATAGAGGGGAGGTGACTTGGCCATACACAGCTAGCAAGTGTCTGAGCTTTGATTGGAACTTAAGTCTTCCTAACTCCAGGCCCGGCTCTCTATCCACTGAGCCACCCAGTGACCCTTTGCTAGGTTGAGTTCTGAGGCATGGGAATTCGTGTGTACTGACACTGGCCCACCGACCTGTCAAAGCTGTATTCCCACTTTTTTTTAATGTGGAAACCAGGCCTCCCTGGGGTATCGCAGCCTAATCATTCTTGGATCAGGAGCCAGAGCTGCATCCAGAGATAGCTCTCTCAGTTTCCAAAGTTTATTGTTAATGAATGTGCATGCAGGCTAAGGTCTCTGGCAGAAGCCGGAGCTTTGGGGTGCAGGGAGGCCAGCAGATGGGGAGCGGCCAATTTTCTCTGGCACTTCTTGTCTTTCCTCTTTGTCTCTCAATTCATTTTATCAGAGAGGCCTGACTGAGGCTTATGAGCTCAAAGAGACAGGGAGGGGCTTCTAGAGCCTTGTGTCAGGGAGGGAGACCAAAGGATGAATGAAGGATGTCTGTATGTGAATGGGTTTAGTTGCCCATCTCTTGAGCTCTGTTCCTTGTATGAGGATTCATGAGGTCTATGCTGGGGAGAGGGGGTATCTGGGACAGGCTGACCTCCTTCCTTCCTCCCTCCCTCCCTCCCTTCCTTCCTTTCTTTCCTCCTCCCTCCTTCTTTCTTTCCCTCCTTCCCTCCCTTCTTCTCTACTTCTTTTCTTCCTTCTTGGAGCTACAAACATTTTTTAGGTATGCTCATGTGACTCATTTCCTCAAGAAGTCTCAATGGCTCCCTATTACCTTGAGGATAAAATTAAAAACTCCTCTGTTTGGTGAGCCCTTCATGATCTGGTTCCAGCCTCTCTTTCCAGGCTAATTACACAGTATCCCCCCACCTCAATGCACTCTGTGTATTAGCCCCCCAGTGCGACTTGCTAACTTTCCGTCTCCTACCCACATATCTTTGCACAAGCTGTTCCTCGTGCACTCCTTCCTCTTCCAACTCTTGGAATCCCTGTCTCCTTTCATGGCTCAGTTTAAGCGACTTCTCTTACAAGATGGCTTTCTTGATTTCTCCCATCTTAGTGCTCCACCCCCCTCTAAATTACTCAGTGTTTAAAAATTATATTTGCTTCTCTCTGTGCACATTGTTTTTCTCCAGGTGAATATTAGCTCTAGTGACGGAGTCATTTTAGTCTTTGGAGTCCTGGCACATAGTGGTGCTTAAAAAATGCTCGACAAATTGTTGAATTGATTTAACCACTGACTGGTGGGCTAACAGAGAGTGGTAGATCAGACTGAAATTACTTTGGAGGGAACCTAGGAACCCAAAGTATCCTTGTCTTAGACAATGTAGCATTCCCACGCCTGGGCTTCCTGGGTCAAGTAACCCAGAATAAATACTTCCCATTAGCCTTGGTGTTTCCTAGTTATATCAGAATGGAAAGAATGGGAAGAACATGTGATTGAGTCACAGGACCTAGGTGTCAGTCCTGTTGTAACTCCTTACTAGCCATGTGTCCTTGAGCAAAGATGCCAGGTCCTCAGTTTCCCTTTCTGTAAAATGAAAAGGTTAAGGGGCAGCTAGGTGACACAGTGGATAAACCTCCGACTTTGGAGTCAGGAAAACCTGGGTTCAAATCTAGCCTCAGACACTTGACATTTACTATCTGTGTGACCCCGGGCAAGTCACTTAACCCTGATTGCCTCACCAAAAAAAGCAAAAAAAAAAAAAAAGGAAAAGGTTCTGTCTAGACAGTTTCTGAGGCCCCTTCTGGGGTTTAGAAGAAAAGCTGCTCTAGATCCAGGATTCTAAGACACTTCACTTCTCTCTTAGCCTCAGTTTCCCTATCTGTAAAATGAGGGAATTGCACTTGGTGACCTCTGAGTTCCCTTTAGCCCTCACGCTTTTGGCTGAGTATATTTCTTTAAATTTAACAAAGTCAATCTCACTAACTCTACAATACTCTTGGTCTGCCTGCATAAGGAATCTGCTAGTCTGTGGGGAGATGCCTTGACATTGTGAATGCCAGATTCCTTCTGGCCTCTCATGGACGGACCCTTGGGCTCTCCGGTAGACTTTCTGGTCATTTCTGGTGTTTTCTTGTGAGTTTGTTTGCTAAATTTGTATTTCTCCCTTGTTCTCCTCCCCAGTATTTGAGAATAAGGACAAGATTGTGATCATCATGGAGTACGCCAGCAAAGGGGAGCTGTATGATTACATCAGCGAGCGGCGGAGACTCAGCGAGAGGGAGACGAGACACTTCTTTCGGCAGATAATCTCTGCAGTGCACTATTGCCATAAGGTGAGAGGCAGAATTAGCTTTGGGGAATCCTTTCTCTGTTGTGTGTATCAACTGAAAGTCAATTCAGTTAAAGATATTAAGCCTGTTAGAACAAAAGAACATAAGGAACAAAATTTAAAGAACTATAATACTTAGCTGTAAGTCACATACCTCTGACTAAAACGGAGCTGGGATCTTTCCTTAAGACAATTTATTGTGGTGGAGTGGACAGCTTTCCAAGAGTCCTTAGGCTTGGACTGGTGACTTTGTTCTGTCACTATGTGATTATGACCTGGTTGCTTACTTCTTTTTTGGTCTCAGTTTCCCCTTCTGTAAAATAATGAGGTTAGATTAGCTGATCTCTAAAAGCCCCTTCTGGTATTAAGAGTCTATTGCCCCTCCCCTCCTCCCTTGTGGGAAAAAAAAAAAACCCAACTTTTTGACTGGTTGCTTGGAAATCATGAAAGCCCAGTTTTAGGGCCGTTCTTTGATTTTCCATTGGAAAAAGCGATAGCACCCCAAAAGTGCCTTTGCTTTGTTGAATCAGGCCCATGGCTACGTGGTCATCTTTCTCTTCTCCCCTCCCTCTATTTACGCTCTCCTCCAGCTCCTCATGTGGAGTTCTGCTCAGCAGAGTGCCTGCTACACAGTGCCTCCCTGAAAGCTGTCTGGGACCCATTTGACTTTGAATGATTTAGAGAAAACCTTGGCACCCCAAATGGACTTGTTCTTTCCTATTGCCAGTCTTGGCTTGGGTAAGGTTAGAGGTTCCCAGATCCGAGAGGACCTGAGAGGGGGAAGTCAGTGCTTTCCTCAGGACTGATGTCAGTGGCAGATACTGTTTGCCGGTGTCTGGGAAGAATATATTGCATTCACACAGTAGAATTACATTCCAAAAAAGAATCCCCCCCACTGTTTTACAGGCATTGGGGGAGAAACGGATTCCAGTCATTCTTCCCTTAACCACACACAGCAAGTGACTAATATAGCTCTTGTCACCGGTCCCTAGACTGGGAGTGTTATGACTGTAAAAACAGCCCCAAAGTATAGATACAGAGACCACCCCTGCTGGCCCAATTCTTTAATCTGTCCAACATTTCCCTTTCTTCGAAGTCCTCCTTCCTTCTTCCTTTTCTCTCTCTGACTCTCTGTTATTCTCTCCTTCTTTCTGTCCCTCTCTCTTTGTTTTTCACTGACCCTGTCTCATTCTTTTTGTTTCTGTCTCGTTTCTTCTCTCTCTCATTTTCACCGTCTGCCTCTCCTTCTTTCTTATTCTGTCTGTCCTTGTCTCGTTCTTTTTACTCATTCCCTTTCCCCTGTCTTTCTCTGTCTCGTTCCATTTATTCCCGTCTGTCTTTGTCTCTTCATTTACTGTCCCAGTAGCATTCTTTCTGACTCATTCTTTTCTCTCTCTCCCCTCCCTATCTTACTCTGTCTATCCCCATTATCTTTGCCTCATTCTCTCTGTCTCATCATTCACTGCCCCCATCTTATTTTCCTTGTTTCGTTCTTTCTCTCTCCTCCCAACCTTCTTCTCATCCCATATCTCCTCTTCTTGTTTCAGAATGGTGTTGTCCATAGAGATTTGAAGTTGGAGAATATTTTGCTTGATGATAACTGTAATATTAAGGTAAGGCTCTGGGGTAATTGATGAATGTACAAGCCTTGGGAACTTCAGCAAGGGAGTAGCTTCACTTCAGTTCTGCCTTCATCAACTCTCACTTTCTGCCTTGTTGCCAACGGGTCAGGGATGTCCCTGTCAGAATCAGACTTTTTTGGAGACCTTTGGTCGCCACCGAGCAAAGCTAGCTCACAATACATCACATAGCCTTTTGGGGGGGGGATTTTAAGAGGTAGGGGCTGGACCCACTCTTGAATAATCTTGCCTATTCTCCAGGTAAAGGGGTCAGTACCTCTATGAACTTGGCTTGAAGGAAAAGTTGGTATTACAGAAAGAGTAGATTTGGAGTCAAGACCTGGGCTCATATTCTACTGTGGGCAACTCACTTCCTTTGTCTGGGACTTAGTTTCTTCATCAGTAAATGAAGAGGGTTGAAGGCTCAAAATCCCATATTAGGAACACCAAAAGCAACAGGGGCCAAGTAGAGTTTGGCTTCATTGTAGGTTGGGAGTCATTTTTAAGATACATATTTTATTGATGCATTTTTTTTGGGGAGCTAAGCAATGGGGTTAAGTGACTTACTCAGGGTCACACAACTAGAAAGTGTCTGAGACCAGATTTGAACTCAGGTCTTCCTGACTCCAGGGCCAGTGCTCTATCCACTGCACCATCTAGCTGTCCCCATTGATGAGCACTTTTTAAAGTATCACTCTTACTTCTCAATCAATGACTCTCCCTTCCCCTCCTCCTCTGTCCTTGTAACGAAAGGAACATGAGTAAGCTAAACAAATCAACATAACATCTCCATCTGATAAAAGTATGCTTATTGTCCCCCATTGAGATAAGGGATAGAATTAAACTCCACGAGGTTAGGATTGGTGTCATTTTTTCTTTCTCTTCCCAGAGCCTTGTTGAAGCTTGCTTTATCTGCTACACCTCTGCAGTCACAATTGGTCACTGAATTGTTCAGAGTTATGAATCCTTTCTTTCTTGTTTTCCTTCATGTTTTTCTAGTCATCATGAAAATTGCCCATCCTGCTTACTTTTCTCTATATCAGTTTGTACAAGTCTTCCCAAGTTTCTCTGAAATCTTTTACGTTCATCGTTTTTCATGGCACAATAATGCTCTTTTTTTAAGTCAATTTTTATTTCTACCTTTTGTTTTTACATTACCCATATTTTCCCAATGTATCCTTCCCTCCATCTCCTCCCAGAGAGTCATCCCTTATAACAGAGAATAATAAAGAGGGGAGGGGGAGAAAAGTAACAATTCAGCAAAACTAGCCAAGATTGAAAAAGGCCATCATAAGCAGTGTTCCACATCCATAGTCATCTGTCTGTGCAAAGTGAGAAAGATGTCTTTTCATATCTCTTCTTTGGAGCTAAGCTTGGTCATTATACTTTCCACGTATTTGTTTTGTTAATTGTTTTCATTTATATTGTAGTCACTGTGTACATTGTTTTCCTGGCTGGGCTTCCTTCACTCTGTATCAGTTCATGTAAATCTTCTCATGCTTCTCTGTATCCATCACATTGATCATTTTTCTAACAGCACATTAAGATTCTGTTCTATTGATGTACCACAATATGGTTAGACATTCCCCAGTTGATGGGCATTGAGGTTGTTTCCAGTTCTTTACTGCCACAAAAAAAGGATAGCAAAATAATATCCTATTAGATCCACAGGCCATGGTTCGTTCAGCCATTCACCAGCCAGTGGGCACCCATTTTGCTTTCTGTCCTTTGCTACTGCAGTAAGTGCTGCTGTAAATATTTTAGAATCTATGGGACCACTGTCCTTCCCTACCCATCTTCTATTCTGCTTTATTCCCAGCTCTCCGCCAAGCCCGTGATAAAACAAATCATGGAGGCGGCATCAACATTTGCTTGTGGAAAAGAGCAAAGTATGTTCATTGAAGAGTTTACTTTATAGATAGTATTATTGCTGGCGGCTGCTGGGGTTAGAAAAAACTTTCTTGGCTCACAGGGTTCAAGTACCTCCTACCGACCACTCTGAGTGTCCTTTTGATCACATCTAGAAAATAAGCAAATGCAGTTTTAAAATAAACCTTGTACACCACATGAGCTTTAGCATGGAATGGCCTTAGGTCTCCAGGCACCGGCGGGGCTTCCCAATTGGCCGTCCATGACGTCAGAGGCATGTCAATGATCCCCAGACAAAGCATGGGAAGGGTCCTTCTCTGCCTCTTTTGTTGTTATTTCTATCCAGGGAACTGAGAGGCATGGGGAGAAGATTTCCTTTACTCAGATGGAGTTGCTTTGGCCTTCCGAGTTTCTGTTTATGCACCATGATTCCCAGCTCCCATGGCTCTGTTACCTTTTTCACCCTCAATGAATGAATGGTCATCTTGGCTCAGTCTTCCCTGCCCCCCCGTCTAATGAGCAATCCATGGGGAAAAAGGAAGTGTCGGTTAAGGATGGCTGTCTGTTGAAACGGAGAAGGACAGTATGGGACAATGGGCAGAGAACCTAGCAGGTTCAAATCCCATACCTATGTGACCTTGGACAAATCACTTAACCTCTTTGGGCCTCAGTTTTCTCTTCTGTATGATGAGTGGTTTATACTAGACGACATTTAAGGTCCTTTCCGATTTTAAGTCTATTATCCAACAATTGTAAGAAAATGCAAAAACACTTGAATTGGAGTCAGAAGACCTGGGTTCCTAGCCACACTTTTGCTTCCTCTTACCTCCTTGGGTGATCTTGGACAAACCATCGTCTCTAAGCTTTAATGTCCTAACTTGTAATGGTGATAATGAAATCCACGCTCTTTACTTCATGGGGTTGATGTGAGGATCAGATGAGATAATAAACGGGATCGGTGGAAAGAAAACTCTTTCTGGGTTCACATCCCAGCTTTATCCCTTACAGTGTGACCATGGGCAGTCACATCAACCTTCCTGGGTGGGCCTCAGTTTCCTCATCTTTAAAATAAGGGGGTTGGGCTAGACGGCCTCTGAGGTTTCTTTCAGCTTTAAATCTGTCATCCTATAATCCTATATGACTGTCCCCAAAAACTAATGCCCTGCTATCGAGCTGATTCTTCACTTCTGTCCAAAGTGCAGGATTCTGAGTGGGCGTATCTTCTTTAGTTTTAACCGTCAATAGAAGTGGAATTTGACCATATAGTGATGACTACCGTTGTGTCTACATTGTGGTTAAGTGGTCTCAGTACTGCCTGGGTCAGCCTACATCTGGAAGATTGGGTTCAGTGTTGGGTAATACGTTTTAGGAAGGACACTGACAGATGAGAACATCACTAGGTACCCAAAAACTGTGTCCTATGGGCTGGTAGCTCAGAGAACTTGGCAGTGTTGAGGTTGGAGAAGAGAAGGCTTAGAAGGTGGCCATGATGGCTGTCTTCAGATGCTCCAAGGGTTCCCTGTGGAAGAAGGCTTAGATACATGATGTTTTGTCCCAGAAGGAAGAACTAAGAAGGATTTGAAAGGAAGGATCTTTTGACTCAATTTAAGAAAGTGTTTTCTAGTAATTAGAACTAATGGTCGTGGCTACTTCATGTGATACTGAGCTCTTCTGGTACTTTATGTGTCTAGATGGAGGCTGGGACTATATGTGTCCAATATATGGTATTATATGTGTCCAAACTGTATGACTATATGATAATGTATGTGTTCAAACCATGTGGTATTATATGTGTCCAAATTCTATGACTATATGGTACTATATCTATCCAAACACCTGTCAGCGATGGCCTATTAGGGATCCCTTGATGGGGGTCGAAATGTAATCTTTGACAACCTCTGAGACCCTTTCCAACTCTAAAAGTCTACAGTTTTTATTACATGGGATAAAATTATAGGAATGTACCTTTGAATAAAGTAGTGATTTGAAATAATATAAAGAGATTTTCCAAACACAGTACCTAATAAAAGGGTATACTCTTGAGGATAAGTTGACCCTATTGCTTAAAGAATAGGGGTGACTTGTTCTAAAAAGATTATCTCATTATTTCGTAATTTTGTTTACATTGCAGTCATTTTCATCTTCTCCTTCCTCTTCCAACCTTCTCTTGAAACAAGGGGAAAAAAAGTTAGGCAAAACCAGTCCATGGATCTGAGAGCGTATGCAACATACCCTACCTATAGTCCCCTACTTCTCCAGCGAAAGGAGGGAGGTGCATTACCTCATCTCTCCTCCACAACTGAGATTGATCATTATAATTACACACAATTCAGTTTTGTTTTATTGTTCTTTCTGTTTACATTCCTGTGGTTGCCTAGTGTATTGTTCTCCTGGTTCTGCTTACTTTGCTCTGCATCAGTTCAGAGAAGTTTTCCCAGGTTACTCAGAATTTATCATTTTTTTATGTCATAGTATCATTTCTTTAATTCACGAATCTTTTTCTGTTCAGCTATTCCACAACTTATGGGCACCCACTTTCCTTCCATTTCTTTCCTGCCCCTAAAAGTGCTGCTATGAATATGTTCTTGTATAGGAGCCTTTCCTGTCTCTTTTCAGTAGGAGGGAGGCAGTTAGGAACATTGCTTCCCTCCCCCATCACTTTCAAAATTAAAAAAGCGCCTTTATCAAGGCAGTGAATGAGCTGGGATTGGGTCTTCCAGCCAGGCATGACCTTTTGGTCTGCGTGACGTAGTGCCAGTAGAGGTAAGCCAAATAGCTTTCTAGCTAGTCATAAAATTCCCCAGTGGGAAAAGAAGAATGGCTACAATTCTACCCAGAGATTGGACAGGGACAATGAGCCGGAATCCTAGGAGAATGGCTGATTTGCATAAGCTAGAAAGGAAACTATGTCGGGTCAGACAGTTCAGTGGGAGCTGAGTGCATCAAGCCTGGGACCATTGTACCCTGAGTAGAGAAAATGCCCGGGGTAGCGCTTGTAAAATGAAAATTCCGATGAGCCCAGATTCTGACTTGTACTTGGAAATTATGGCTCTTTTTTTGGACATTTGCCATTAAAATGAAAGAACGGAAAATGTATCCTTCACCCTGAGAAGCCACTGTATTTT